TCTGCAAGAAGAAATTGGGGTATTTTTGGCCAATGGGTGACAATTGCTTCTGGAACTTAGTCATGCACAGCGTATTGTTGGATGTTAGGTCAAACGAGTGTATTAACCTGTTGTTCTCAGCTGAGCCTCGAGCCCGACGTGCACGTGCCCTGTGTGTGCAGTCAGTGCTGGTAGGATTTGTATCCCGTCCTCCGTTCCTCAGATGCTTGAGCGGAGCACGTTCTCATTGGCTAAATATGCTTGCCATGACGGGCAGTTGGTGTACCGCAAAAGGGGACTGACTGAAGGGAACACTTATAATATAGAATAATGTCACTTCACGATTTGTCAACTGGAGACCACTGCTCCTAGCGCGGTTGCTGGTTACGAACACCGGCAAAGGTGAACAAAGAATTCTTTAGTTCTCCTCAGACAAGATATCTGTTAACATGGAACTACCTCAAGTGGATTTGCCTGAAACTCCTGTCAATGGTGGCCGGCAATCACTATCGGACAGGTCGAACCGCAAAGCGTCCAACCGATCAGCGAGTCCCGCGACTGCCATGGCACGTGGAACTCAACAAATGCAAACTACGAACCGAGTTCGCAGTGTGCTCAAGGCGCCGGAACGTCGTACTTTTGCTGGCCCGACAAAAGAATGCCATAGTTACGGGAGATCGATATACGCAAATGCTCCGCCTGCTGGTGATGAATACACTGCCGCAGAAGAGACAGACGATGTGGACATGGGGTATGAAGACGTGATTGCGGGATACGCCCAAGCCTTACCGAAACCGCCAATGTTCAAGGGCTCGACGAAAGCTGAACGTCGGGTGTTCATGTCGGCGTACGACCTATACATCAACCAGACGTACGCGCTATCTGCCAACGGCCCGCGCCCGTTCGTGATGCCAGTTGGTGCGTGTATGGACTTCAAAGCGAAGTACCGCATTGCTGTGTGGGACCTCGGTAAAGATCCTGACGAGGTGACGGAAGAAGAATTGGCTGCGTGGTTCAGGCTCGGTTTCGAAATCGAACCTCGTGCGTTTGAGAGCCTGAAGAAGCGCGTTAAAAAGTCTATTTGCTTCGATATGTCGATTTCCGACGCTGAGTCGCGTGTCGGCAAAATGTTGGATGGCCTGGTTGCAGAAGCGCGCCGCGATCGGCAGGAATGGATCCTCAAGGAAGAAGCATAAACCATCGTTTAGTTTATCATCGACGCTGTGAAGCCCGACTCTCTACAGTTGGCGGTGGTGGAGCAGATGTCCATGTCAAGGAACAAGTAGATGAAAAAGGA